GACTGCTTTAAACAGTCGCATTATAGCAGTATGTTTAAGAGAATGAAAATAGTTGTTTACTTACCAGATTGATTAGTATTATAAGAATTTGTTTTTTAGTCCACTTAACATCTCTATTGGCTTGATGATAAGAAGGAAAATTAATTATTTTGTTTATTGTTGTGTAAGTTGTGTGTTTTGTGGCAAAGTTTTTAATGACTAGACAAACATTAAAACTGTGAAAATTACAGATCATTGTTCAACCACCAAACACAGGTGTAACATTTTATTCTTTCATTTTTTTAAAAGTATTTTATTGTGTTGCTCAGCAGGACCTCTCAGTAAACACAAGTGACTGAATATTATTGTTTGTAATCCGCTTACAGGTATTCGAGCTTATGAACAGCTGGGGTACAGGGCTTTTGGCACTCCTGGAAAAATGGCTGCTGGTATAGCAATAACCCTGCAGAATATTGGAGGTGAGGGGCTAATGTGAATTAGTGATTAATGTGTTAACATGAGTTATACGCTACTGCATGGCTTAAATTTATATCCCCCATACTCTACCACACACACACACAAGTACTACTCTGGCTTTTGATTTTGGATATAGGACCCTTTATGTTTAGAATATGGGGATGTACTATGAGCAAAGATCATGAGACGAGTGGGTCAACAGCTGCGTTCCCGTTGGTGCTGGCATTAACAAATATTCCTTCCACTCACTGAACATGGCTGGCATGTAGGGCTGGCTGTTTCTGACCATAGCTTTGTGGATAGACATTAGACTATTATTAATCATTCAGCGGCACAATAGTTTAAATTTGTAATGCTCAAAGATTGAATGCAAAGGTTTTCATAAAGCTTTTTAAGCCCCAAGTAGGTACAGTAACTGCAATGTTGAGATAATCACAGCTGGTGATTGGCTCACTGCTGCCAGTAACTGATTTTCCAGGGCCATAGCCAGGATTTCAGATGCCCCCACATGCAATTTAAGAAATGTTTAATAATTTAGACTCTTTATATTATATAAATGTTTTGCTCAGTAACAATTATTTTCATTATCAATTAGCTAATTATTTCATGCTTATAACAAGTCCCTGAAATCTAAGATGATGTAATTTAATTATTTGTTTTATCTGACCAAAACTCCATAGTTGGTCAGTTTACTATCACATAACAAAACAGAGAAAACCTGTAAAATCTTTAGCTGGAACTATATAATGTATGGTATTTTTGCATGACAAATAACTAAAAAAAAGATTACTCGTTTAGCAAAATATTTATCTATGAATTCTCTGTTGACTGATTCATTTGACAAATTGTTGCAGATGGTCGGGAAATATTATCTTCTTTGTCAGCCTAAAACTTGTGACACAGCCTAACACACTACTTCCATGTGTTTTTTTTATTGTAGAAAGTAAACTCTTCAAGGTTGTGAACACACAAGTACAGTGTCCTGAGTAGTAGCCACTGCTCTGTCACTTACACTAACATAATGTGATAAGTTTACTTATGACATGGCTTAACTGATGTCTGTTTGGCCTCACATTTTCATATTTTCTGTCTGTTACAGCTATGTCCAGCTACCTGTACATCGTTAAATCTGAGTTACCACTGGTCATCCAAGCTTTCCTGAAGGAGGATCCCAACTCTGAGTGAGTATTCGCGTCAATTAAGTGCTTTTGGCACGTGACGTGACCCACAGATACTACATATAGACAGTGTTCAAGGGGCCTGGCAAACAATGAGGGCAGTGAATATATCACTTTGCACCATTCATTGATTCAGTCAGTGTGGGTGTGTGATCAGAATGGCAGCTTGTAATGTCTGAGCAACAGGGGGCCCATAGTTGGGATACTATCTGTCAGTTATGTATATATACAAAATAAACACTCAGTGCTGTCAGCTCATGGAGGCAAGCATTTTTCACATCAGAGTTATGCCGCAGACACAGACACTCTGCATAAGGCCATGGAGGACTAAAGTGGATTCCAGCTGCCTGTTTGAATCTAAAAACAAACCTCACGCTCAAAAGGGATTGCAACGACTTCAACCTCCACTCTTAAGACATGTCTTTAGAAATGTCAGCAAACCTTCTCAACCTTGTTACATATTGGAGTCAAACATCCAGACGGTCCTCTCTGGGATGTTACATTCAATGCAACACACAGCACAGTTTGTGTTAAACAACCTCAACGCTAGCTATCCATCAAAGCTTATGGCTCTGACCTGCTTCCATATTCTCCTACTGTCTAGTTTAGTGTGTTTTTCCATTTTCATGCCATATCCTTTCGAAAACTCTTAGATGTAGATCTAAGGCTTCTGAAGTTCATGCCATTTCCCTTTATCATTGATTACTGTTGGAGTGGGATAGACTAATACTTATATCTGCGTTTGTGTGTATTTATGTCAGGGTCAGAGGCTTAGCTACAAACGAAATTGACGTATGAAGATTATGACTCGCTCTGTCTGTGTCACACACGCACACACACACAAATGACAGCAGCAGGTGGTGTAACATGAGTGCAAATTCCGAGGCCGTGCATAAGGACAAGTCACTTCAGGGCCAGCACTCAACCAACTGAGGAACACACTGTTCATTTACACCGAGCGCGCCTCTTGCTGTCCAGAGCCATGGCGTTAGGAGAACAGTGGAATGGGTGGGTGGTTGGCCTGGGGGTTTGCAGAGTATTAGCATGGTCACAGAAAGAGAAGGTCAGATATTTGAACTTGAGAGACTTGACTCCATAAAGACTTGGGCATGGTGATACTGGATTTTACCAATATACCAATACCAGTATTTGAATAGGATAAAAATGATTTCAACCGAAACATTGGTAATAACTCCATGCTAATATTTCTGTAATAGTGTAATATTAACATGTAATGGTTGACAGCTTCAAATATCTGGGCCTCACACTGGACAATAAACTAACCTTCGACCAGCATACAAAGGACATTCAGAAAAGTAGTCAGCAAGGATTATCAACAGTCCGGTAAACTCAAAGGAATATGTCGCCCCCTAACTCTTTCTACTGTTCAGAGTATTATTCAACCCATCCTGCCCTATTGTTCCACCCGTTTCTTCAGCGCGCTTAATGTTACAAACCAGGTCAAACTGACAAGAATTACCAATATTGCCACCAATATAATAGGCCTGCCCACACCCAACCTCTCATAACTCAATTGTAAGGCCATCACACGCATTGCAAGCACAATAGCACAGGACATCACACACCCACTAAATCACGACTTAATTCTACTACACTCATGGTGCAGGTACAGTGCCCTCAGATGCAGAAGGTAGCTGCAGCCACAGCAGCCCTGAACAAGGTGTCTCACACCAGGAGTCTTTCACCTGTCCTGTCTGTTGTTGTTGCTGTTTGTTGTTTGTGGTGTACATACATATGTCCCTCTGGGGACAACAAATTCTAATCTAATCTAATCAATCAGAAGCTAATATCATTGAAGTGATACTGAAAAATAAAAAACATTTAAAAAAAACAGTGCTAGGCAGGTCTTTCTTAACCAACAAATATGATTAGGCTTATGTATTGCAACATGTTTAAATGCAAGACTTTAATGCAGTTATGAAGACTTGTAATGTGACCTGGACTTGTCCTCAATGACTCGAATCTTGACTTGGATTGGTCTCGATTGACTTGACCTTTGGCTTGGAACTGTCCTAAACAGCTCTGGACTCGCACCACATTTCATTTCACATGTGAAAGCTGGTCGTCTAAAATGACCTACTGACCAAAAGTACAAGGAGGACATGACCTGTGATTCATGTGACTTCCCTGGCTTTCAAGGGACTCCTCCACACACACACACACACACACACACACACACACACACACACACACACGGCTAGCATAGGTCACAGTATGCTGCAGCTTGTAGGACCGTGGCAGACAGCTGATGCCACTGGTTGTGTCTCGATCAGAGGGTTAAGAATACCAGTATTAGCAGCTTAAAAGGGGCTGTAGGACACAAAGACCACTCTATACACAGGACTTAGGAGACAGTGGTGTTTAATGGTTCGACAACCATTTCTGTAAGCATCTGGTGCTCCTCTCAGGGTTACAGCTCCTGACGTTTGAGATTTCACTGCCCCCAGATTTCTCGCTCAGTTTTCCTGAGCCTACGTGCAAAGAGACTTTGTCTTTTCTACACCAGTAAGGAAACTTGTGGTTGCCCACCTCGACGACTGAAACACATCTATTCACATGACAATAAACAAGCTGTTTAACCACATAACAGTGTTTACTGTGAACAGTCAATCAACACAGAACATCCTGACAGACACTCAGACCTCTGACTGCATCCCAGCACCAACATGTCCACATGTAGGAGATGATGATATAGCAGCAAGGTCCCCCATTGGATTGAAGGGGGAGGCAGGGCTAAGATTGGATATGTCGTTTCATCCTTACATCTTTTTTAGCCTTGATCCAAAACGCGATGTCTTTGAGATGGAAACTATTTCTGGGTGTTATGGTATAGGGTGAGTAATAGAGAAGAAAGAGAGAATGAAAAAGACAGAAATAGCAAAGGAGTGATGGAACAAGCTGACATTGGTAACAGTAACTGACTTCATCTGTGCTGTGTTGTTTAGGCTCCACTATGTCTTTCCCGTTTCTGCCACTGTAAACTGTCACATAAATCATCTGAGTTACACAACAGTCTCTTCCATTACTTCTGTGGAGGGCAACATAAGCAGACACATTTTTTCCAAGGATGTTCTCAGCAGGTTGATGTTGGTCTAGCAAAATGTGGCACATCAGTCATCTGGACGAGTAGATTTTTAACAACCTTATGTTGTTGAAACAAGTGCTCTCATACTCCGTGATTTTAGAAAAAGTAGTACCGACAGTTTCGCAAAATGTGTAAACACATCTTATCATCTAACATCTAACTCTATTTTTGTCTCTGTCTCTGTGAGTCCTGTGTCTCTGTGCCAATGTTTGAAATATTGCGCTCACCAAAGTAAACTAGATTTTTTTCTCCAGTCTGTGGTACTTGAATGGAAACTACCTGGTCATCATGGTCTCTGGCAGTATCATCTTGCCCCTGGCTTTAATGAAACAGCTCGGTGAGTAGAACTAGAACAGTCTGTTTCATCCTCCCAAGTAGTTTGAGAACTATTAGCAACTCTGAATGACGCGCATCATCTGTGTGTCTGACTGTTAACTGTTAGACTTTTGTCAGGGGTCTTGTGGATTAGTGGTTCTTTTTGCCACAGGAACTTTTTCCAGAAACCTTTTTAGGATCTTAACACCCATTCAACCACTGAGAGCTATGGAAGCCCAGTTCTGCCAAGAAAAGAAAAAAATACATTAAAAGTTATTAAGGATGTATTTAAGTATTTTACATTCACATATGAACATCCATCTAATTCTTTTTACAAAACATATTCTATCTATAGGAGTTGTCATAATTAAGATTATGTTTTCTTTTGACTTGTAAGTCAAGCTTGCTTCTTATGACTTGTAAGTCAAGCAATTAATGTGCCTTTATCCCACCAAGGGCAGTGGAAACAGCGAGTTCCTCATTAGACGTAATTTTCCCTGAGATGAGCTATTCATTATTACATGAAATAAACATGCTCTTTGGTCTCACAGTGATGTGAGGTCATTTTGATGGGTATTTTTTCTTAGCTTAACAGTTGGAAACCTTCCAACTATGTGGACTTCTTGTAGTTCCAAACAGCAGATGAAGGCCAAATGGATCAGCTTCGTCTAAGGGCTCTGTTACATTTATTGTCTCTTTCGCTTTATTTTCAGGTTACCTCGGTTATACCAGCGGATTTTCTCTCAGCTGCATGGTGTTTTTTCTCAGTGCTGTAAGTTGGTCCAACTCACATAGTGGCACATCATCACAGTGACCCTTCACAAGCAGCCTCATTTGTTTTGGCATGTAATCTTGGCAGACGTTACTCACTTTCCCACCTTCATCTCTTTCCCACCCTCGTCTCTGTTTTCAGTGGCATGTGGCTATGTTTGATAAGGCGAATATAAGAGCTGCCTAGATACATCAAAGATCGAGCGTAAAACCTAAGTACTTAGAGGCTGAGTAACAGTAATCTGCTGTGAAATGGCTTGTCTTTTCTTTCTTTATACCCCTGTTTTCTTCTCTCTGCAGGTTATCTATAAGAAGTTTCAGATTACCTGCCCATTCGAGGAGTTTTCAGCCAACAGTACTGCTGCCCACCTCAGCCTGAATGTCTCAAGCCATGGCCATGACTACAACAATGGTCTGGTTCACGAGGATGATGACTCCCGTTGCTCACCCCGCATGTTCACCATCAACTCACAAGTAGGCAGCTGAAGTTAAGATACTGTCCGCTTTTCTGTATCGTTTTCAATTATTAAGCCCACAAGCCTAGCCTGAGTTCCCACGCTTATTTTGGGAGGCTCAGTTGCCTTGCTAATCATAGAAAGTCACGTGTTTATGTGTTCTTCACAGACAGCATACACTATTCCCATCTTGGCTTTCGCCTTCGTTTGCCACCCCGAGGTCCTCCCCATCTATACTGAGCTCCGCAAGTGAGTCACCCCTCTGTCACATGCAATATTTGATAACATGTCAGTGTAGAATGTGGCATTCACATAACTTTCAACTCTCTGATTTTAGTCCAACGCAGAAGAGGATGCAGAAAGTGTCCAACATCTCCATCTTTGTCATGTACAGCATGTACTTTCTGGCAGCTCTCTTTGGCTACCTGACCTTTAAAGGTGAGAGTAGTTGTCTCTTTCTTTGGGGGTTGTGTTTACAATATCAGTGGAAAAATACAAATGTTTATGCAAAAATCAGATAGTCAGTGCATTTATTTTTTGTCAAAACATTCACAGTAAAGCAAAAGGAGTGCTGCTTTGGCTTAGAGGCAACACTGAGATGCTTTTCTGATAAAAAGTATAATTCAAGGTGAATTACAAAGCCTTTGTTTTGCTAGTTTCTTTATTTTGCAATGTTAAAGCTTCGCCATGCAAATTGTTCAATTTGGCATTGGGGAATAACTCCTTTAAAGACACCATTATCCAGAATCCATATCCATATGTGAAAAAAGAATCATATAGCACCAAATTGCTAGTGAGTGCAGGTTTATATGGATGGTGTGCTTGCTCAAAATACAGTTTGTATTTTACTCACAAACAGTTTTTACTTCCTGTCACAGAGACAATTTCCCACTGGTGACTTTATTGGAGAAATTATTTAATTTGTGATTTAAGATAATGAGACATTGCTGGTTTTCATAAGTATATTGCACTAATGTGGCTTTTAAAATGACTTGAATACGTTTTGTGGCAAAATGCAGTCGCAGCAAATAGATAAAATATAATATAACATTTTGAGCAGAGAAAGCCACCTTAGATTGTTTAAAATAAATGTTCTAATCTATGTTTTTAATTCTTTGTATGCTTTTGAGTATTTCCTTGGGATATAATGATTCATGGTTAGTATTCTCTGTATTGAAGAAAAACAGAGGCAGGTACAGTATTTACTTCCCTTCCTACAGAGCCCAGGCTCCCTCTTGGGGTGACAATGTGCTGTCCAGTGCTAGAAGGCATTATCATTGAATGATGTTCACACGAGAACACTTTATTAATAAGTTATTTGTCTTTATATTTTTTTAGACAATGTGGAGCCTGAGCTGCTGCACACTTACAGCCGGATTGACCCATATGACACTCTGATCCTGTGTGTGCGAGTGGCTGTCCTCACTGCCGTAACACTGACAGTCCCTATTGTATTGTTCCCTGTGAGTTTGTTGTTGATTTGTTCCTTGAGATGCTCAGTGTATATTATATATATTTATATATAGTTATATTATTTCCTTACTGAATCTTCTGTCTCTGTCTGTCCACAGGTACGTAGAGCCATCCAGCAGATGTTATTCCCCACCAAGTCTTTCAGCTGGTTGCGTCACATTGCCATCGCGCTCATTCTGCTCACCTTCATCAACATGCTGGTGATATTCGCTCCTAACATTCTGGGCATCTTCGGCATCATTGGTTAGTAAAGCACTGAACATAAAGCTGAAAGAGAATCAAAGGTATCATAATGATGGTCTGGTTAGTTTGTCTATGAATCCAAAAACTACAAAGATTCAGATATCACTGCTGGTCTTTTAGGTTATTGGCTCCTGCTGTTATTCCTCCTGGAACATTTCACTGCTGGAAAGATGGTATTTACATAAAACTGGTTTCTTTTACAGGATCCTGAAGTATGTCTGAAGCACTCCTTTGTCCAAATGTGGCCGAAAGCTATGGTATAACGCACAGCGATTCCATTGTTGCACTTTTACTGCAGCGGCACCATTTTTCCCTGGCATGTGTTAGCTCTTCGCTATCCTTCGCTATCTTCTCCAGCTGGCGGTACTTGACTTTCATCTGTGGCGGCCTCTTTCTCCTCCATACTCTGTAATACCTCCGCACTGGCTCAAATAAGCAGCCCTGAGTGTGATTCCAGCATACACTATTAAATTCATTTTCTTCCATATCTACAGGAATATTGCGTTCTGCCAGTGGTTGTTGTAGCCAGTTAATTCTGCAGCAGTGAGGAGCTGCCCCTCTCTCGATCCGAATGTCAGTGGAGGCGGGCATACAAAAAATGTGGAAGTACAATCTGTAGTTTAAACAACAGCATCATCCGGCGGACTTTTGCTAGCAAATGAACGGAGAACATGGAGGGAAGTTGTTCTTTTATATATACTATCCATACCCCATTGTAATGATGCTGGATGAAAATAAGCAGAGTTTCCCTTTAATGTTAAGACAATTTTTTAAGGAGGACTTCCCAAAAAGCATCATCACCATGACAAGCTTAAAAGTTGAGGACAAGTAGCAAACATAGTATGCTATATTATAACTAAATAACATTAGAAAAAACATTTAAAACAACACTTAATGTTTCCCACAGCTTATTTATCCACTTGTCTGGATTCATTTTGACTATATTCTACATATGATGTGATTATGGGTTACTCACTCTGTTTCTGTTTACAGACTGCATCCTCCTGTTTAACATGACAGCGTATGTTGTGTTTTATACTTTCCAGTTTCTGACGCAAAAAAAACAACAACAGTAAAACGCAACTGAAAAACGTGACCAGTGCATGTTTGCTCACGGACAAACTGATGACCTGAGTCAATATTATTGTCACGCTCTGTCCTCAGATTGGCAGTCATGTTTCCCAGGTTAGAGATGAAAGTTGAAAACATTCAAGTTAAAAGACCACCAAGGGCATCTTCAAATCAACAGATTCTGCTTTGACAAACTGGTGCATGCATTTAAGTACACACAGAGCTCACTTCAATACACATGAATATACAGAAGCAGAAGGAAAAAACTGGATGATGCAATATATGGAGCTGTTTGCAGCATCCTTTGTATATTTTATGGCTCTCAAAGTGAGGTAATTCTGAGTTGAAAAACGAGCTAAAATCAAATAAAAAACAATAATGCAAAATCTGAATGAAAACATAATCCGCACTTGTAAGTCTATCAGAAAACAGCTTTGGTGAAAAAAGGGAACGCCTGCAGACTTCAAACTCCATACAACAAAGGTTTAATAATGACAATGTTTCGACCTTATATAATGAACATTAGATTAGATGCAAGTTAGAGGGAAAAGAGAAGAAACCCATGAAATGTTAGCTAGATCAAGTCACAATAAAGAAACAAGCACCCCTGTTAGATTTATAAAATTTTACATTTTAACATTTGTTATTACCAAGGTCAGGTTCTAGAAAATATCCATACTGGAAGGAGACATTCGGGACTACTGTTATGTATATACATACATACATACACATGGGGGAGAGCCATCATGATACATTTTTTTATTGTACATTTTTTATTTTAGAGAAAATGTTTGGTCTCATATTATAGTGAGTCTGGAGAGTAAAAATATATAAATCGCCTGCTCCTCTTGCTGCCCCTTTTAAAAAATCTTCAGAGAAAAATATCACTGCGTTCAGTGAAATTTTGTAGTACTGTATGCTTTGTTTTAAACAGCCCTTTCTCTCTCTCATTACAGGTGCCACGTCGGCTCCCTGCCTCATTTTCATCTTCCCTGCCGTCTTTTACATCCGCATCGTTCCCAAAGACGTAGAACCCATGAACTCTACACCCAAGATAGTGGTGAGGCCTTTAAATTTTTCTCCCTTCAACCATTCATTCTGCTAATATGGTGATTATCCTGTGTGATACAGGCTTATGCATACCAGAGCTTTTGTTAATTAGGCTGTTTTTCCTTATTCTTAGGCTATCTGTTTCGCTGCTTTGGGTGTCTCTTTCATGGTGATGAGTCTGAGCTTCATTTTCGTCGACTGGACAACAGGGGGCGGCCTTGCTGCTGGAGGCCACTAGATGCTAATTAACTGTGTGTGAGAGCTTCGGAAAGCGGGGGAGGGGGGACAACTGGTTAATTTAAAGGGAGCCCTAACACCTCAGTGAGAAGACACTACAGGGCTGCCCAGCAAGCCAGGTTTTTGTAACAATACGAAATATAAAGTATAGTATGTTGGTTGGAATCATACTGGTATTGATCAAGTTAGTTTTTTGCCTGTAACTTAACACATCTCTGGTCAAAATCCTTTCATAATGATGTTCGATAATTCAATTTAATGTAGTGCAATGTTAATGCAATTTCTACAATTAATCAGGGCTGATCAGGGTCTTTTTTATTACCATCTGTTGAAATGGTCCTTTTCTTGTTGCTTCATCTTTATTTATACACAAACAACTGACGGCTGGTACTGTACAGACAAAGAAGGTGTGATTGTCTGTTAGGCTGAAGACATCAAGATATACATGAGAAAGGGCTAAATAACTCACAAGTTGTTTTCCACAGGATGCAGAACAGAGGCCAGTCAGATGATCTCACCCAGAACCAGAACTCTGAACTGTGCCATTACGGTGTAATATAACACACAAAAAAAAAATATTTAAGACCTTACAGTGCAGGTGACATTTTATTGTTATGTCATATTTCATACAGTCTAAGCTTTTGTTCCAGATCAGCTAACTTAATTCAGAAACCATGGTGCCTTTTAGCATTTGGAACACCCCACGAACTTACAGTAAAAACAGGAGTGTATATTTATTTAGCTATTATATCTGTCAAAATTTCAAATAGACTATATTTAACTACTGTATATGATGAAGTCAATGATCCAAATACATCAGTTTTTTGTTTTAGCTTACAATATATAGATGATGGAAGGTGTTCTGACTGATAATATTTTAAATGCTTTTAAAAATATAGAGCAGTATTTTAGGATTTGATACCTCCCTTTGCAAAACTTTTAGCACACATATGCTAAACTGTGACCTTCAATATAAATCAAGTACAGTTCACCCCGACAGTTGACCTTTGAGTCTAGCTCATTCATTTCTTAAATTCTTGATACCCCCTTTAAACCTCTCATTGCGTTTTTATATAAATTCAGAAAGCACTTCTTCCACACTTTATAATATCACATATTCTGCATCTACATGTTACTTAATTGAAGTTTTATGATGCATAACATTTTATGATCAATTCATATAAATTCTAACTCAAGCTGTGTTTTTTGAGGCTGCTCTGGAAACTCAAATGAAAGGAATAGTTTGACATTTTGGGAAGTACCTTCGTTCATTTTCTTGTCATCGATACCACTCATATCTGTGTGTAATATACAACAATATACAGTCAGCTTAGCTTAGCTTAGCATAAAGACTGGAAGCAGGGAGAAACAGCTAGTTGGGCTCGGCCCAAAGGTAAAACAAAATCAGCCTGCCGGCACCTCTAAAGCTCACTTATTAACACTTTATATCTGGTTTATTAAACTTGCAGTCTCATTACCAGCAGAGATTCACTTTCCTCTAGTAAGTGAGAAATATGGTATCTAGCAGGTAGTTTCTGTTTCCCAGGCTCTGACATAAACTAGACACGTAAGCAATGTACATATCTCAAAACCTATGCATATAAAACCAAACACTATTGGCTATACACCTAGCTACTTTATAAAAGGTAAGTTAGGTTTATTTTTCTATCATTTGGGTGAACCCACCCAAGCTTTATGGGTTTGATGAATACCTGGCCAAGCAACATGAATTTGTACAGATGAACCCACTGGTGGGTCTGGCAGAGTTTCACAAGTTAATTTTATTCATTTGAAAACATATTTTGCATTTTTGTTTCTGTTGCAACATCTTTGCTGTACTGATTTGTAGTATTTTGATGTGCTATTTCACCCTTGTTGATTTTTTAGACTTGATGTTAATGTTTTGCATGCTGTTACGTCCAGTCTGTCCTGTAGTTGGTTTAGTGAACTGCACAGTAACAGAGATTTTCCTGCTGACACTTGTCATACATAATTGTTATTGTAATACTGTACTTGGCATCTTATAGTGGAGCGTACCGAAGTCCTCTACTGTGCTAGTTATTATAGTGTGATATTAGTATTATGAAGCCCTTCTTAAAAGATGCTACATTAACTAATGGTTCCAACATGACTGTTGAGATGTTCTGTCAGTGATGAGGTGTTCATTTTTGAGCTTAATATAGGGATGAGGATGGATCAGTAATTCTTCAGCTGAACTTTGCGTCCCATAGTAGTAGTAGAGAACCTGCATAAAAATTCACTTCACATACTACAGGTGCATTGAATTATAATAGATCATAAATGAACACTTTTAAAAAAAAGAAAGATGGTTTTATATCTCAGGCTTCAGAAAAGTCCTGCGTATATCATTACTTCCCACTCTCATTTTATTTATATATTACTCTATTCTGTGTTTGTTTAGCAGATTTGATTTTTATGGATAGATTATGAACAACAGCAGAGGAGTCCCTTGCTTTTCTACATGCATTTGCAGTGTTGTGTTGTAAACGAAGGTTTAGTTTTGACATATACATACAACAGTTTTTCTTGACTTTAAGGGAAACATAACAAATTACTACCTAGTGCTTAACAGTTACCACAGTTTTAATCCCACACGCAGTATATCAAATTATGCAATTGCACTGATGTGCGTTATGCATAAATAAATCTATGTGATATTTTATTAGAGCTGTTGTTCAAGACATAAATCTATGGAAATGACACGACTATAAAATAACAATAAGGTATATGAATTTTGGTGAATAAGACATGGCTTTATATAAATACTGTATATAAATGTAAACCTTTTATATTTGTGATGCATATTTACTGGAGCTTGTAAAGTGTAAATAGCAGGGACAGTTTTAGTTTGGCAATAAAATAATTGTAGATGTTTTTACATTGTCTCTGTTGTAATCATTTCACCTTAACTGAAGCTAATTCTTATTTAAGCAGCATGTGTTTCTGGTTATTGTGTTGTCTGTCATTTATTGTGTTTTATACTTTTAATAGACATTTACACATTTGATCAATGTTGGAATATCTTCATCCCCAAACACACACACATGGTCAAGAAAGTTTATCTTTTCCTAGTCAGTGTTCTTATGTATCTTTCAAAACTAAGCCGTGTTTACAAAATACACTAAATCTGAACTTTAGGTCATAATGATCCCTCACTGCTGACCTTGTTATGTCTATGTTTCATTATTATTTTACTGTTACACAACACTAATTAATTTACACCTCAGGTAATATAATCTCCATTTCCTGCTACATTTAATGGAATCATGGAAGAAATCCTACTGTTGGCTACATTAAATTTAAAGTTTCAGTTGTGTGTTTTATTTCATTTTAATTTTTGTGTGTTTGCTATTACCCTATTGTAATATTTTAACTTTTAATTTTTCTTGTTAAATAGTCTGATTGTTTTTTTCCTTTTGTAAAGCACCTTGCGCCGCATTTCTTGCATGAAAGGCGCAATATATATTTTTGTAGCACCTTCATATTTTCTATTATGCCTTTTTACAGAACATATAATCCATTATCTGTCAGCTCCACCAGAGAAAATATCTGTTCATGTCCGTTTGGGGGCGCTGGCTGCCAACTCTTCTGTCAGCCTGATTATGTGCCAAGGTATGTCATAAACATGTGACAGAACCACTAGCCATTTTAACGTTCCGTTTTAAGGTCCCGTCCTGCATCCTTGCAAAGACAAACCTGTTCCTTCATAGTCACTGAGCGCAGTTCAGCCTGCTGGTTGTGTTCGTCGTCTGAGAGCCTGCATCCATGACAAATGCTGAGGACTGATGCTGGCACAGCTCCCACTGCAGTCTGCACACCGCACTCCTGAAATCACGCCTCACTGTTTTTACCCCTAATTGGTTCCACACAAGCTACCGCGGAGAGCTCACCTGTTCTAATTGGACTGTCGCGACAAGTTGTCCATGTCACTTCGATCGCGTCCAGTTGTCTAGGAATACCGGAGGATATCTGAGGAGCCCAGCTGAGGAAAGGCAAGGACTGCAGCAGTTCACCAGGCCGACGAGACAAGTGACAGACAGGATAGTCTGCAGCCGAGCAGCGAGCACATGCATGGATGCAGGACGGAGGGCTTTGAGCGCGTAGACATGGACCAGCGGTAACAGTCTAATAAACCAAATGATTTCGGTGCGTCGGCTTCATCTTTGAGCTCCTAGTTGAACAGGAGAGCAGGAACCTTGACTTTTTACGCTTGGGTAAAAACTCTGAAATCGGCTGGACGCAGGAGCTGCTCCATCGTTATTCTTGGCATCAGCCGGCGCGCTGAGATCATCAGCATCGAAGCCTCTTTTTGTTTTGCGCGAGTGGTCGGTGCGCCCCTGCGTTTGGAGCCATGGGTTGTACGGTGAGCGCCGAGGATAAGGCTGCCGCGGAGAGGTCAAAGATGATTGACAAAAACCTCCGAGAGGACGGAGAGAAGGCAGCCAGAGAAGTGAAACTGCTTTTATTAGGTAGGTGGCAGCTGGTGAATGCTCCTCGGGTTATATTCGCGAACTAAAAGGAATGTTTGTTGCTGCAGAACGTCTCCACAGGCGCAGAGTGAAATACAGTAAATCTACAGACCACTTGATTGAGAGCAATGGTCAGACCACTACGCAAGCAGCTCAGCATGATGTTGTCGTGAAAAAAGGAGTAAAACAGAAAATAATTAACATTGCAGTTGCAACTAGAAATAAAGTTTAGACTAGACCAAGCATAAAATCATATCATAAAATCCCCAGATTTCCTCCAAATATCCAGGACAAAGGCTTGTGCAAATCATTTCAGCCACAGCACAGAAAAGAGGCCATATCACTGTCCATGTTTCCAACAGTCATACTGAAACACAGTCTGTAACTGTGTTATTTATTTGCCAACAAGTGCCCATTTACTTGGAGATAAGTCAGATATCATCTTGTCAACATGCAGCACAGCTTCCCAGAGCTTTTCACTGGTATATCGCCCAGAAGGCTTAATTCAATATATTAAACATGTGGACTATGACTAAACATTAACAGGGTTACACTTCAGCACCACTCTACTAAATCGGTCTGTCCTTCAGAGAAATACAACAAACAATTCCTGTTTGTCTGCTGACAACAGTGGCAGAAAAAAGCAAAGATTCTGAAGCTGGAGACACACTCCCTTTCCTCTTCTGCCTTTCACACACACACACACACACACACACACACACACACACACACACACAAATAACAAATACACACCCTCCCACCACATTGTTGCTTCCCCTCTTATCCAATGCACTTGTCTTTATTTGCTGTCATCTTGCTCTTGATTTTTTTTTTGCTCCTTCTTTCTAGGAGCTACAGGATGATTAGTCAAGTTTTGATAACCTGAAGATGGAAAGATACAGAGGTGTTTTGGCTGCACTCAGACTCACTCTTTTATCAGCTTTAGAAAGAATAAGTGTTCTCCTTAGTTTCAGCCTTTAACCAAACGAGCTTCAGGAAGTGTTTGCTATCTGAAGACCAAAAGCTTGTAAAAGTGTAGTTTTTATGCCACATGTCCTCTTACTTAACTACAAACTTCTCTTTATTTAAGCTTTTTCTGCATCACCAAAACCCGTCTGATAAACCTGTAGAACTGATGGATGCTGTGGTTCTGTCGACCAAATTAATATGAGAAGTTTGGTCTCATGTAAAACATAACAGTAAAACTGTTATATTATTTTATAAGAATGTATTGAATTTGCCATACCATGACATATAAAAATATTAATGTAGTTAAGGTTAATGATTTCATCCGGATAACAGGATAACAAATAATATATAAAATAGCTGTTAAGATACAGTATGGTGTATAAAAATCCTAAATTTAACACCTTAGTCTACATGTTAATCTATGTGAATTCTTGCCTCACAGCAAGAAGGCTGTGTTCAAACTTGCCGGGCGGCTGGAGCCTTTCTGTGTCTAGAAGGTGACAATTATTAATGTGGTCTGACATCTTGAATTTGGTCATTGGTATGATTAAATCAGTCTAGCATGGGGAACATTGTTGTAGCCTATTTCAGAGAGCTAACAGCACACATGGTCTGATGCTTTTGTAGAAAACATTAATATTTTAAAAGATGTTAAGAGGAATTGGATCAAACAGATTAAGTATGGGCGGTTATGTGCAAGACTGTTTTTCGAACCGGCGTGGTTACTTCTGGAGTCTTGTGAGGAAACTTTAAAAGAAGGAAGAGTTATCATTATGTCACTTTGTAGGGTAGGAACACATATTGGTGCCAAATGTGTGAAAACTGGAGCTTTTCCCCACCGAACCTGGGAAAATTTAATAATATTAAGGAGGGCTAACATTTGGCAGCTCTCTCAGTAATGTTTTCTACTATCGTCAGGAGGTTGCGCCAATCGCCAAATATATGATTCTATAAATCTGGACCTTTCACACTTACTTTTACCTTTACTTTTACTTTGTTTGTCAATGAACAAAGTTTGTATTTGCACTTTGTTTAGCTAATGGTAGCCAGTAATATCTCTGCTGAGACATCCTACATTCATTTGGAGATAAAACCGAGAATGTAAGACAATCCTTGTGAAGGTGTGAAAGAAAAAGACAGGGTTTGAAGAATGTGCTTTATTTTTTCAGTCAGGGAGCTGCGGTGTTGGTGAGTGATAGCAAATGTTACAGATTCATGACTCGTGTGTGTGCAAACTAATAACATAGGCTAGAGGAATAGTACAAATGTACATCACTGAGGCAATCTGCAAGGCACTGTAGCATATGCTCATGTCCTAGTTTGACATTAATTTGCCAGGCAACCAGCGAAGAAATAAGTAAGTCACTGCTCTTGCCTGAGAAATACTATAACTTCAATTAAAGGGACTATGTGTAGTTTTTTAATGAAATGAATCAAATTTTTATTGCTTATTTATGAATGGGTTATAAACTCACATATAAATGAAGCATTCAGCTGCTTACTTGGTTGCTTGGAACAGCCGCTATGCTGAACTGTACACACAGTGACAACACTGCAGCTAACGAAATGGAGTCTGCTAACACCTAAAAAAAGACCGGCTCCCAGCACAACACAGACTCCAACCCTCCACGTAAAGATAAAAACAACGAAAAGTGCGCTTCTGAAGCCAGTCAGGCCAAATGAGAATCAGATCGACGTTGGGCGAAAACATCAGAAAGGTATTTGAGTCATGGGGAGACCTCCACTTTGTTTTGGATATAAAAACCGTCCCAGACTCGGCTTTCTCCCTATTGAACAGGTAAACTAACATTACTGCAAATCATGTCAAATATATTGTGTTTTTTGTGTTTTAGCTAACGCTGGTACCACTGTTATGTCAAAGTGTTGATTATAACCTGCAAGAAATTATGTAACGGTACAGTGGGTAGGTGAATTTTGTTACTTTTAGACAGAGCCAAGCTTTTTTCTAACTGGCTGCTGGTTGTAGCTTCAAATTTGATGTACACAACAGATAAGAATATATACATTAAATAAAAATAGAACAGAAAAATACAAGAAGAAGAATTAATATATATACCTTTTATATACAGATGTGATTGATGAGTCTTATTGTCTATCTTGGCACAAAAGCCAATAAGCGCATTTTCCAACCGGGATAAAGCATCTCAATAACATCCCTTTTGGTGATATTGTAACGTGCAATTTTTTGACACAGGAATCCAGTAGAATTTTCCCTGTTGTCTGAAGATTGTCTGAGAATCATGTTAGATATATATATAAATAACATCCTCTGTGAGAGAGAATATGCAGAAGGTTGCTGCTTGTTAGCTTTTTACATTAAAATGTAAACGACATAATGGTTGTATTTGTCTCGTTTGTGTACGAGAATATACTGACCTGCTCTGGCAAATAAAAGATGAGTCACTTGATGATAGCTGCTGAAGCATGAAAGGGGTGCACCAAAATCTTTTAATACATTTACAGATTATTTAGTTTTTTCATCATGAGTTCTTGTGGGACTAAAAAACCTATCCCCTTTTTTATTGCAGAATGAGTATTTTCTGATGCTTCCAACAATGTTGTTCAGGACATAGAGCTCATAATCAACCAGATTATTTATTAGGTGATTTATATAAAAGCTCATGGTAAGTGTCACTGAGGACTAGAGATGGACAGTCAGAAATTTTGTGGAGGAGAACAAAGTTGTTGAACATTTTGTTGAGCTGTTTCCAGACATAAAGAGCTTTCTCGTGTTCGCTAACTGGCTGGGCTGATACTTCAAGCCACATGTCACATGGCTAAAAAGAAAACTTGACAGGTCCATATGAAACTCTTCTCTCTCCACTCTGTGTTGTAAGAATAGACTGATTACATCGTGTTGCACCAGACTCCAGAGCTCTCTGTTGAACCGACTGACTAGATGACTGGTGTTTATCAGAGCTAGAACCAGGCACAAATAGTATGTTGTTTAAATGTAAGATGCAGGAAGTGAGGATCAACAATGTACACGTACAGACCTTGTAAATAGCCCATTCAAGAGTGTCTGTTTGGGCACCCATGAATTCAGAAGGTCTTTTTAAAAAAAAAAAGGGAAATCAAAACAACAGCTCAGTATCATGAAATCAATTCTCAGGCTTTCCAAAGAAATGGTAGTGTAATAACAATTAACATGTTTTAGACAGCTCATGCTTTATGATAGATAAAAATTGTATTTACATCTTCACTATGCACAGATTTTACTGCCTTATCTTTGATCTGTGTTCACTTCAAGCATCTTTTCTACAGCTATACATAAAACTATACATTAAATATATATTATATAATGTAAATGTACTATAAATGTACTGTACATTAAATGTTTTTTTTACCCAGAAAACATGCATTTTTTCAGTCCTGAGTAGTCATTTCAGCCTGAATGTAAACCTCCACCAGTCAGACGGTAATTCATCAACCGAGGGCAAAGAAAGTCCATGATGCACTCTCTGCTGCTGGTAAAGCTTCATAAGCTTGTCTCATCTGAACTGTTGTGGCTGGACAGTAAGAAAACCCATTTTACAGAGTTTATAGTGAGTAAATCAATCTGAAACTGTAAAAGTGGGGGTGACTAAAACAGAATAGGAACCCATCCATCACTAGCAGAAAATTCATCCGTAAGCCTTTTTGATTGTTTAAAGAAGTTAGAATTTGGGATCAGTAACAATTTTATGCCCGTAGAAGTGAATGTAGAAAAGTTGCATTTAAGTTATTGTTTCTCTATGTAGAAGCAAGTTTAGATAAAATATGATTGGTAATTCCATCCATCCATCGTCAACCGCTTATCCTGCGTACAGGGTCGCGGGGGGGCTGGAGCCAATCCCAGCTGACATCGGGTGCAAGGCGGGGTACACCCTGGACAGGTCGCCAGTCCATCGCAGGGCCACACATAGACGAACAACCACTCACGCTCACACTCACACCCTAAGGACAATTTAGGGTAACCAATGATTGGTAATTGTACTTCTTAAATAAAACGTATTGATAAATAATAAAAT